AGTACTGCGCTGACGAAATGCATTCCAAGAAATAAGGTTGTTGTGTAAAAAAAATTAAATTGCAATTAAGCCGCCATGACAGTGCCACACATACGAAGTGCGAACTTCTGCCATCTGCAAGCAGTATTTTAAACTACGTCGTTCAATGATCCGTTGGAGGGGTGGAGGGTGGGGGGATTGTAGCTGATAGCAACAGCAACAGTGGAGGCTCTAGTGGTGAGAAATGCAAGTAGAGTTCAGTTCTAAGTCCACATCATGCGCTCTGTTGCTGCGGGTCACGTGTTGGCTGGAACTTGAAGAATGTTGATTGCTTTGTCAATGTTTTCCTTAATGACACTGTATCGACTACAGCTACTTAACACTGAAGCAGACGAGGTGATAGTAACGTGCTGAAAATAGGAAAGATGTGGCAAAAGGCGTTCTGGGCATTCTACCGGGGAATTCTTCTGGAAGGGATGAATAAAGTCAAAGAATAAATAATCACCCGTTATAGAGTGTGTGTTTCAGACTCTTCGTTGTGAGAAAGCATGAAGACAATCATACAGAGTAATCCATCATATAACAAAGATTCTGAATTCAAGATTTAACAAGAATATATCGTATGAGGAAACCAAATGCTTGTACTCGGGATAACTTTGGTTCGATTCCCGTGAGGTCTATCCTTGTAAGGCCATGAGAAAGGTCATGTTTAGATCTTACTAACCCTCAGTTCGCTTCCCTGCATCTTTCTTCTGGCTTCTGACACTCAACATGGCGTCACATTAACATATTTTTCTGTGACTGTAAACAGTCACTACAATTGACAAAGCATAAAGCGTAGTTAAGAGAATCTTGCATACAAATTAATTAACGAGTCAAGTATCTTTCACTTAGCGGTACCACATTTTAAAACAGTTACATGTATATCACATATGCAATTAAATACAGAGCTGGAAATGGGGGAACAAACGGATAGACACCATGTGTTTAAGAAGAAAGCAGTATTCTGGGATTTGGCACCGTGTATATGTGGTGTTAACCGGTACCGGTTCTCACGGTCTCTTCGTCTGCGGATTTCTTATATTTTTCCTTCTACCCTGAAGATGGAGGCGACACGTTCCTCCGAAACGTCGGTTAACACCACATATACACGGTGCCAAATCCCTGAAACCTCAAATCTTACACCACGTGTTTAGTTCCAAAGTAGTCTGTTGTACAACGAAGCTTTTTGAAGTGCCACGAAAGATCATAAATTTCGTCACCAACATCGATACATATAAGGACGAATTTATGAAACTGCAATGTATTAATTTCGCTGACACAACATGTGTAGTTCACAGCTTTTCTATTGATCTTGAGAGTCTCCCTAGTTCTGGAAAACCATTTCCACTCCTGATTAAATATGAATTCATTTATTTACACATACAGCTAAATTTATTCAGAACTACAATTTCGTTTGTGTATACAATATTTTAAAATATATTATGGATACAGTAAAATTAAAACAATAGAAATAAGGTTTGTGATACACATTTTTCAGCTGCTCTTGAAGGGCGATGTTCATGTTCGTTAAAAATAGGTTTATGTGAAGATTGAAATCACAAATATAACATGAAAATATAGAAAGTCACTATTGACTTAGAACCTCATCCAAAACATTTCATAACTGTCTGACTAGCCTTACAGTCACTCCTTAAAAGTAAACAAACAAACGTAGTAACAGTTAAGAGCATATTCCTATACTAGAATTGTTCTTAGGCACTGCTAAATGTATTATAGGAGGGTTGAAAGGTACATATAGAATTTGAACCGTATGGTATGAAGGGAAGAGTTTATTTCGAAGGAAGCACAGATGGGAGGATAGTAACAGCATGGATCTTGAAGATATAGGATAGGTACGACGACTGAATTCATCTGGCACAGGATAAGAACTAGTAACAGGCTCTTATGGAGACGGTAATGAATGTTCGGGTTCTATAAAAGACGTTGCCGCACAAGTCTCAGTTGATAAGGCTTCTAACTCTGTAAGATTTGAGGGTTTCACGGTAGTGACTATGAAAAATGCCGTCTTCTGGGATGTGGCCCGTGTAGATAGTGTTAACAGACCGTTTCGGAGGAATGTGTCACCTCCATCTTCAGGGTAGAAAAATATGTGAGCAAGGAACTAGCGTGAGTAGATAGTTGCAGCCATCTCGATCGTGGATTTTTTATACCCTGAAGACGGAGGCGATACGTTCCTCCGAAACATCGGTTAACACAATATCTACACGGCGACATATCCCAAAAGACGGTATTCTTTGCTTCTAACTTCTGTTCAGGTGTCTGGTTCGAATCTCAGCGCGACAATGACTGTGCTGCCTGAGGTATTATGTGGGATCCCGCAGTCCCTACGGGCAAAGCTGAGATGGAATTAGACCATTTCAGTTGTCTTTTACATCCTCTCACAGTCATTATTCACTTCCATCCGGTCATTCGACGGCGCAGAGCCTGATTTTAAGACGGCATAGTGAAACCAACTCCGTGGCTTTTAGCCCGCAAGCGAATTATACCGACCGAGCGACCGCTGCTTGTCAGCGAAGTTAGTGTCAACTTTTGCGGATAGAGTGTGTCGCTACAAATAAAATAAGTAAAATTGATCACGTGGGTAATTTCATGAAGAGATAATAGACTAGTGGCTTTTGAAGAAAGGCTCAGTTAGTTAACGAACAGTTTGGGAAGTACTGAATTGGATTAAGCTGGCCCAGGATAGGGCTTAATGACACGCTCTGAACATGGTAAGGAATGCTCAAGTTATGCTCGATTTGAGGTTCTCACAATAAATAGTTTTGAAGATGTCTGTCTTCTGGGATATAATTCCGTGTAGTCAATGAAAATCAACAACCGTTTCGGAGGAAAATATCGCCGCCTCCATCTTCAGTGTAGAAGAGTAAGAAAATAAGAAAACAAAAAAACTACGGTTGCTGCTTGTTTAATGTAGATTATCTTCTTGCTTCATACATGTTTCTTGCTTGGTTTACTCCTCCAAACTGACAATGAAGGCGGTATGTTAATCCGAAAAGTCAACTGATTTTCACCGGACCACAACGCGTTAGATCCCAGAAAATAAAAAAAAAAAAACTCATGAAGTGAAATTTGGTCCTTTCAAGTTGATATCGAATCATGGCCAGTTACATTAAAACAGAAGACAATAGAAACATCAATCTGTATAATAATAACATATCAACTAAGGACATCAGCAGAATGAACTCTCGAAACGTCGAGCATACCAAATATAGCTCAGACAACAGGCGATGTCCGCATAATACTGGTACCTGTAGCAAACACGATTCCTCTTGTATGGTACTACAGTCCCGTGCGGTCCAAGGTAGAATTATCCATCTGTCTAATTAATCATGTACGGCACTATGAGGAAATGAGTGATAGCTCCACGTCCCGGCCGCCTTGCTCTCACCGAAACAGTCCCGGTATCCACTGCATAAGAGACTTGGCGTACACCACAGCCGGTCTGGACCTTATGTAGAATAGAAAAACTTTTTCCCGCTGTCGAAGGCCTCAGATTTTACGTGTATTTGAAACTTAGAGATATTTCGTAGGTTTCCTAAAACGGAGACTCAACCCACTCTAAGGCCTCTACCTATACAGGATAACATAAACACAGACAACACGTAGATCTACATCCATGCAAGTGGGATTCGAACTCATAATCCCAGAATTCGAGCGGTAGAAGACAGTACACGCCTTAGACCGTGCGGCCACCGTGATCGGCATTATAAATTCGACAATAATTAAAAATCCATAAAATCAATTTTTTGTTTTGTTTTGGAGCCCTACAATACATTAGGCCAAAGGTCTGTTAACAATCGGAAGATCTGGGTTCCACTTCAGGTCCCACCGGTTGTCCCAAACAGCAGAATACGTCCAAATGTAATGTTTCTCGAAAATGTATAATTCAGTATACTGTTCATCCAAATTTGACTCCTACAATAATGAAATCTGAGGCTATATCATGAACAATTTATCTAAGTGCACTTCATTTATCTGTTCCTATCACACGTGACAAATTGAAAGGGGTTTTGATAAGACTTGTGTAGTTGTGTGCTGAAACTTGGAGGTTACCTGATATGACAAGGCAGTTCTTCTTGAACTGAAAGACGTATTACAGTAAGAAATGTTATTAATGTGGACAATTACTTCTGCTCCTTCATATCAGACATCCACACACATAATTCCACGGTACAAAACATAGGTCTAATTGATACAGCGTTGTTAAATGACAACATAACCCACCACCTATTTCAGAAGAGCAGGTTTTCTCAAATATCATTCTATAGCTCAGTCGGTACAACGCCTATGATACGGGTTGCACATCGAGGAATTGGGGTTTCATTCGAAGCAGGAGAGAGATTTTTTCTCTCCTTAGCATCTAGACTCGGGATTTGAATCAAGAATTTACCAAATTTCATGTACCAACTGCCTTAGATTTCTCCGCGAAAAAGAAGGGTTGTTAACTTAATAGAAAACGTCTTCATGCATCTTCCGAACTTCATACGCGAATGCGTTGCCATTATTACGTCAAATAATTCGAAAAGTTTACATCGAACTCCCTACATGAAGGCCTGGATTCATTCTCAAGGCAGCCCACCTGGGATTTGTACTGAAAGGTGTTGCACCGAAACCAGTTGCTGTCCCAAAACTTCAGTTCTCTCCTCCTAACTAAAGTATATGAATGCTCTGCAATCATCTGTGGTCCTCAACATAAAATGGCTAATACAACAGATTCACTGGAACAGGAGTAGCGTAGCGACTAGCTACGGGCTGGATGACTGAGGGGTCGGAGTTCGAGCCCCGGTAGGGTCAAGAATTTTCTCTTCTCCAAATCGTCCAGACCGGCTCTGGGGTCCACCCAACCTCCTACCCAATGGGTACCGGGAGCTCATTCCGCGGAGGTTAAGCGGACGGGGCGTGAAGCTGACCACTCACCTCCAACTAGTGCCGATGTCAAGAAAATGTGGATCTATACATCCACTCTCCCATACACCTTCATGGCGTAGTGCTTAAATTCGTTAAACACAGGGACAATTTTACCTTAACTTACAATAAGTTCATTTGCTGCAGCAACGACAGCCAACACCCCCAGTACAATACAGCCGAACTTGTCCTAGTTACATGTAATCATTTCCACCCAGTCTAGACATCTAAACCTTCACTCTCGGCTTAACTTTTCCACGTGTCCATCTAGAGACGCGACGCCACACGTGGTGCAGCTGTATCCGCGGCTGAGACAGAGAAAGGAGTGCTTTACCAGCAGCACGTAACAAACGCTCCTCGCCCCGTATTGTTAGGCTAATGACAATAACAATATGAAGACTGATTGTACACGTAAATGGGGTGGCAGTGCAACAAATTTTTTAAGAAATTTGAAGGTCAAGACATCTTTGAAGGCGGTAACATGAAATATCAAGGACATGGGTTACAGTCTGTTAGTTAACGATGCTATCGTTTATGACAGGAAACTTAATGGATAGAAAGCAGTTGCTGGGAGAAAAATTGGTCGGGTAGAGCGCAGTACTCGGAGGAAGCCTGCTCCTGTGCTATTTTTTCCACCACAAATCCCACATGACGTGACCTGGGGTGGAACCGGGGCCGCCGAGGTGGGAAACCAGTGACTGATCGCCTCAGCTATGACATGGGCTCGAGGATGTGGATGACGATTATAATAACATGAGAATCGTAGTAAAATGGGCTATGAGGATGTGAACTATTTGGCCCAGCATCCTACTAACCGGCTAACTCCAATATTAGCAACCTCAAACAGTGGACTCCGTTAGGTTAAACAGAAAATCAGGCAGATACGTAAACACACAGTCGAAAAATGACTGTAGTTCAATCTTCGACATGCCTGTTACGAAGAACCTGCGTGCTTGAGAGACAAGAGTCACGTATAAGTTTCCTAAGAACTCAATCAGTTTATGAAAGGACACCAATAAGCGCGCACGATCAGGACAACAATCCAAAGCGCAACATTTAAAGAGGCAATGTTACTTAGAATTTATCCCACTTCAAGTCTGAAACTTTTGTTTATATCAGCCACTCCTAATGCACAAAGCAAGAATTAAGCTAAGTTCAGCAATGTGACAAACATACACGTACAGTTTTCTTCGGTTAATAAAGCGTTTCACAATAGCAAGCGCTAAAATTATGACACAAGTACAATTATCCGTGGTACTGTAATTTTACAATCTCTTTACCACCGTATTCATGTAAACTGAAAACAACAAAGCTTCAAAGATAATTGTAATACTCTCTCCTAGTCTCACATGAGTTATCCCGCAGGTTTACTAATATTATTAAGAACAAATTTAATTAAAGATATTGGCTTCGGGTTTATGTTTGTTATCGCATGTAGTAAATTGTCTTTCTTTCATTTTCGAACCAATCCCATAGTAAATTTCTATGTGACATTTACATTTCAAAAAATAGAACATTATAATAAAAATGTCTCATATTCATTATCATTAAGGTTATAGATACGAACTTAGAATGAATTAATTTCATCGCGCTCCGAAAGAATCCAAGAAAACATCATATAAAACAGATGCCAAATTCTTACATTTACCTATATTTCAGAAAGTGAAACGTCTGGTTTCGGCACACATGGTTGTGTTTCGAGATACTCCCGCAGAACAAAGCTAACGGTTCAACTGCTTACCACCCGCCTTTTTTTTTTAATTCGCACAGTGGGGCGATGGAGTCCAACTGGGTCCACTCGGCATGTCGGCCACTGAATGGCCTACTGTATCTGTGATCACGTTGATGAAGAATTTGGAAGATTGAAGATTGGCAGGGGAAATCGAAGTCCTCGGAGGAAACCTGCCCCAGCGTCACTTTGTCCACCACAAATCCCACTTGACCAGACCTGGGCCGCCGCGCACCACCCTCTTACTTCCCATTAATACAAACCATGCTCTTGCAGTCGGTACGCTGATGGCTGTTACTGTATTCATTTATGGAGACTGAATATTTTCCACTCCACGCCACACAACACTTTCTCTTTCATAGACACAATTCATCACACTCTAATCTCAGTCAGTACACTTAGACATACACCATAGCCTCAATTTATACTTAGGCCTCAGAATCTTCAGCTTGTGGAGAATTCAAATCAGCTTCAATTTCTTCTGGACTCCTCAAATCAATGGCAAACTTTTTCTTCGCAGCTGCTAGTCCGTCTTTAACATTCTCGCCACCATTTCTTGCCTTAACAATTTTACTGTACTCATTAAAAGCTGACGCAAGCGCATATGTCAGCTTTCGGGCACTATTCCTGCTCTCACAAACAAACGCATGGCATTCAAAAGGATGCTGCCCTTTTAAATCTCCTATTTCCTTGACGATGATCATAGAAAACACTCTGGTGTAAACCAGATCTTGAACACCGTATGATATCGTGTCTATAGGATGAAACATCAGGATTTCCTCCACCTTTTTCTGCGCTTGCGCTACACTGACACCTTCTTTAGAAACAATGAGTTTGACAATTGGTAACACCGTTCCTGCTTTCAGGTTCTTTGCTGCAGCCACCATTGCATCTACTGGTCGCCTCGTATTTTTAATTCCCCAGAGACCTCTGGCATCACGCTGACCAAGGTACTTGACTTGGAAGACCTGCGGGAGATCATCTTCTTTGTTTGCTGGTGCACCTTCCGTTGGTTGTTGCGGAGGCTCCGAACCCGAAGACATATTACGTAAAATACCGGGGTGATTACGTGAGGATATTTCGGCTACTGTGACCTTTCTTTTTGAGGCGTCGTACACATGACCTAGCTCATTCATATGAGAAAAATCTTGCAAAGTTCCTCCAAGTTTGCGCAAGTTAAAACTATCCGTTTCGTCCGATACCACATCACTAGATGGAATACCATCCTCACCTATCGACTCTAACGTTGTTATGGAACTGACGTCTTCTTCAACATCCGGTTTTGAATCCTCGTCATTTCCGGTTGTTTCTGGTGCACTGAGGGATGAATCGTTATCCACCTGTTGTTCCTCGCTTCCGGTCTCTTTGTTGTCCGCCTCATCTGGCAGTGAGGGGGGAGGGTTGCTACGTGTCAGAGCCTTGCCCAGAACCTCACATTCACGCTTCACAAAACCGAAGTCTTCATCGGCTTCCACGCCACTTACAACGATGGAGTTCTCTTCCATGATCTAAATGACAACTCCGTCCTTACAGATGTTCCAGCTAAAACAAGAACAACAACATGTATTTGTTTTTGTTTTGCTTCTACTGACTCATATAAATATAGTTTTCACATACGATGGCGAATGTAAAAATGATTATGATCTGTGCCTTAAAATGTCAATTTCTATGAATTTTTAAGGTTACATACATTATACTGCAGCTTTGAATTAGAGTTAACAGGACTACCATAAATACAATTCAATTCAAACGGTAAAAAATAAAGTAGAGCTATCCCTGTAACAGCCAAATAGAATGAATTTAAACACGTAAATNAGGTAAAGCTATCCCTGTAACAGCCAAATAGAATGAATTTAAACACGTAAATAAATTCACGCATTTATCTGACTGACTGAGTATGTAACTGAGAGCAGAACGCAAAGATTGAGCACTGAATTAACAAAAATCGGCCATTAGACGCTTTTCTGTATCATCTTAGTGCTGATGACATTCCTAGATATTCGCTTCGAAAGATTTACAGTAGCTCCTTATCGTTCTGCCAGATAAAGTAAAGTACAGCTATCCCTGTTACAGGCCGTGGAGGCCCATAGGGTGTGAGACATCGAGGCTCCCACATTTTCTAAACAATCGGCTCACAGATGGCGGTGAAGTTGTCAACCTTACACGCCGGCCTCCCTTTACCCCCTAGGAATATACCTGGTACTCATTTCTGTTAGAGGCTGAGTCGACCCCAGGGACACAGTGCGGCTGGAAGGATTAAGTCAACTGAAAAAATCCACCTCATAGGGAATCCAACCGGTGACCTTCCGGCTTGTTCCATATTGCCTCAACCAACTACGTTACCGCGTACCCCGTTCTGCCAGATGGTTACACGAATATTACATTCTAAATATCTGTTACACGGACTTCACATTCAACTAGGCCTATAGGCCCTAAGTAACCAGCACTGAATGAAATTCTTGTAAAGCAAGCGTAGCCGTGCTGTAACTAAATTAGAAAGTTAACAGTAAGCCTATTCAAGCATGACTATACTCTGTTTAATTCAGTGGTTCCGCACCTTATACTGCAAGAATTCCAAGGCAGAGCAGCACGTTCTGACTTTCGGTTCTTAGCGGAATTTTCAGCAAAATTCTTCTAACGAACCTTCGGGACCAAGTGAGCACCCCTACGAAATTCATTTCAGTCGTGTCCCGAGATGGGAAATAAATTGCATCAAAATGTGAACTATAATCTAACATGCGCAGATGCAGGGATGTTATACATCGCAACATTGAGAAGCAACCAGTAGCTCAGACTCAAACAATTTCCCAGTATTTCATGGAAACCGAAGATTCATTAGCGTGTTCAAAAGAGCCCTCCACTGGTCCCTGTCCCGAGGCAGATGAATCCAGTCCATAATATCCCATTCTATTTCTCTAAGACCCACTATAATATTGTAACATGACGGCTGAAAACCGGAATTGTGGCACCGGAGCAGCCGTCCATTGCTAGACAACGGCTCGATAATCATATTTCCGTGGCAACGAATATTAACAAAGGATAGTTTCCGTTACAACGAATAGCAACGAACGAATTGTTGCCAGGTAGCAAGTCGCTAAACAAAGTCATTCCCGTGAAAACACAAAAGAACAGAGGAACTGTTTGACATGGTGACTTCGATTCGGGTCGTGTGGAAGTTATAAAAGGCAGTGGATTCGTAAATGCGAGAGTAATAGAAATCAGTCCGAGATTAGTGAGAGATACTTCATAGATTCGTCAGACAGACTTCGTTCAGAAGCAGTTCAACGCGTTAGCCGTTACAATCGACTGTAATTGTAAAGAAGTGTCAATAAACCCAATCATCATATCCAGAATCCATTGTTATTAGTCACGCTAACCCCTAACACGTGACAATATTATCCTTCTTCCTACTTCTACGTCTTCCTAGTGGTCTCTTTCCTTATGGCCTTCCCATCAAAACCCTCAATACGTTTCTCTTCTCTCCCGTGCGTCCTACACGGCCTGCCCATCTCATCCTAATCCTTCTCATCCACAATACGTTGTGTTCTCCTGCTTTCAGAATGCCGGATGACGGACAAAGACCAAAACCACAGAAATTCTGACCCATCGTATAAAACACTGATTTTGAAATAACGGTGTTTCTTTTTATAAAATAAAACATACGTACTTACGTTATGTATTCAAAGAGGCAAGAGAACAGATCGGTGACATGCATGAACACGAAGTTATCCAATACAATGTAAAGGCGACAGCAGTATTTGCGGAACGCAGGCTGACTCTTATCAGCAGATAAGTTATCGCAGTCGTATTAGTGGCTGCCTAGGTACAATCATTCGCAGGTTGTAAAGAAAGGAAGTGTGTCCTCCAACCTGGAGTACGGATATCTTACTTTCAATTGTGCACACCTTATTGGCCTTGACAGACACAAATCTGACTTCATAATGCTAATCATATCACCGACACTACACAGGATAGCGATCTTCCGTTCTATTTCACCAAAGACTGATTTTAATTTCATATGACTGGATCACACGCTCACTCACTTATGGAGCTGAGCCCTTCTTCAGAAGCCGCCAATTGTGCAGCTACTCAAGAATTTCACTGCCGTGTTCACAAGAGCTTTCGACTGGTCCCTATCCTGAGCCATATCAATCAAATCAATACCATCCCATCATATCTCTCTAAGATCCATTTTAATATTGTTCACCTACCTACACCTTTGTCTTCCTAGTGGTCTCTTTCCTTCTGGCTTTCCCACCAATATCCTACATGCATTCCTTTTCTCCCCCATTCGTGCTACATGCCCTGCCCACCTCATCCTACTTGATTGATCATTCTAATTATACTTGGAAGTGAACGGAGAAAAGTTGATGGAGGTAGGCCTAGGCCTACTGGGGCTTTAGTGCTAAGGGGGAAAAAAATACTTGGAGAAGAGTACAAGTTATGAAGCTCCTCATTACGCTGTTTTCTCCAAACTCCTGTCACTTCGTCGATCTCAAAATTAAATGCCACAAAAACCTGTTGACTCTCCACATCAAATTTTATCGAACCCCGATTCAATAATTTCAGAACTGAAATTTCAGGACAGATAAGTCCACGCCCTGCGATGGTTACTGGCTTCGTATAAAGAAGGAAAACACGAGTAGTATCTATCTGTAATAGTTCCGAGTCTGCCAAAGAGTTCAGTTCTCTGCAGTTTATATGACATGATACTAGACGTCCTGGCAGGAAAAACTCACATGGCTCCTTCAGCTCTGTTTGCTACAGCGGGGCCATGCACTCGCTTGTTTCTGGATAGACGCCGGAGTCACGCTCTGCTGATTCCTGATTTACCGTTCGATTTAGTTAACGTCTCACAAAGCCTTCAGCTGTTCAACATTTTTGCATTATAATGAGAAACCAGGTGCGTGTTTCAGAAGATGACATCAGTTGTATGAAAACATCGATATATGAATCCTGCGAGCGACGAAATGTTACAGTCTAAGTTCCCATTAGCCTCGCCGAAAATATTTCATTGATATGCTCAAACCGAATTATAGATCTCTGTTTGCATGTAAATTAAAATATGTGCTTAAAGACACGAAACATTGTTCGCTCAGTTATATTAAAATATTAAATAAATATCTTGTGTATGAAAGTTTTTATCTTCTGGAACATAACGCTTTGTCATTCTGTGAAAGACAACCGATGTTTGGAAGGAAAAATTTCGCCTTAGAAACAGCTTCTGGTATATAATTCCTCGTAATCCGGTGACGTCAATCTACGTTTCGGATGAACATTTTACCTCTGATTCGTCTTCTGAGATATAACACTTAGAAGTCCGTTGGGGTTGAATATTTTGCCTCGGACTTATATCTGGTTACATGGCGGTATATCCCAAATGACAGGACTTCCCAACCACCGCTGTGATAAGCCGTACACCATGTTTATATGTTGGATATTCCGAACGCTGTTCCAATGGCGAGCGTTCTTCCCCGTTGTCTTCGTCGTCAGAGGACAAGTCCCGTTCTAGGAAAGCGATGAACGTGTTGTTTACGAATGCTTCTTCTTCTTCTATTCCCGTTGCTCCCATTTGGGGGCATCTGTGAATCGCTTTGCTTCACGTCAGTTTCGTAAACACTCAGCAGGACTCCTTGGACAGGGGATCAGCCCGTAGCAAGCCGCTACCTCCACACAAACGCACATGTTTATGAATATGCTCTTTATATTTTTACCTAATGCATTGCCATTATTAGTCTACACATAGACACTCTGTTCATACCACGTACAAGAGAAGGCGAGGCAAGTGGTAGGTAGAACATGTCGACGTTCACCATTCTACCCTACATTTAGGGACATATTGAATTTCAGTATGCCAGCAGGAAAGGTATGTCGTCGAACATAATGCTGATATTTTCAGATTGCACATTAGATTCGGGGCGTCTATGTAGGTGACTTGCCTAAAGCTAACAGGCCTTTTTGCAACTACGATATTGTCCGTCTAAAACGTCTCTGAGAGTAAGTCATATGTCCCCCCCCCCAAGAGAAAAGTCCTGTGGGTTCAACTAGATCTCAGATATGACATTTTTGCTTCCCATCGTGTCCTGAAAATAGAATCTAAATGACGCAACACCCCAGGTCATTATCTGATGATGACGCTCGCTTACAGAGGTTACACCTGCTCTCTTGCGTTCAACCGGTCCGGTCTTCATAGCCACAGATAAAACTTTGATAAGCGGATCGCAAGAGTGGCACAAGATTCAGATTAGTGTTATAAACTGACGGCACATAGACAGCTTCTTCACGGTAGGTTCCTGTACTCATGTTTCAGTACTGTAGCATCTTGCTGGCCGATCACACTGGCCGTGCGGTCTAACGCATGAACCGTCTTCGCCCGCTCAGACACTGGAATAGTGTGTTCGGGTCCCGCTAGAGGCATGGATGTCTGTGTGCGTTTATTCTGTCTTTGTGTATGCACCGGCCTTGCGACAGGCCGATCCCCCGTCCAAGGAGTCCTACCGACTGTGAACAGATTAAGAAACTGAAAAAGCGGCCAAGGTCCA